GCACAAGAACATCACAATAATCACGCAAACAATAGCTGCGGATCTACATATATTTTGCGCACACGCAATATACTTGATTCATATTTTCAGTATTACCAAAGTATTACAAGTGGAGCAACCACTCATCAGGAGACACAAAATACTAAGAAAGGTTTGAAGCAATACATTGTCGGGATATTTGATTCGTGTTTTTAGAACGTCGACATTACACGTCATTCTCATTGGCAAAAAAAAAAAAAAAAAAGTAAAGGAAAGTCATATTTTTTTATGCTCATCGTAAGACAATACCGTTCGTTTGAGAAAAAAGAGAACCGTGTTCTTGTCACCCCACAGATAAACTATACATCGTCGTACGCCAGGCGCGGTGAGCCCCGATCATGACCTTATCGATCCTCAGTCAATGTCATCGAGGCATCAGTTCATAATAACGCTGAATCATTAAGTACAAAGCGTAAACATAAAAAAAAATACCACGCCCTGCGTTTCTCAATCGTTCGGCGACGAGAGACGAGTGTTCTTTAGGAATGAAAAGGAACGTGTCAGTGCATACGCAGTGGCGTTCTTTGCACGTGCTGATGCCGTATCAGCATTCTGAGAGCTATTATTTTATTGATTATTATTCAAACCTACTTCAGACGACAATTTACTAGGCACTCAATACCCTTCAATGCAGTTACTGCATTTTATTTTCGTTACTTTTCTTGAAGCGGATAAAGCAAGAAGGCACGCGTGTTCGAGATTAATGGATTTCCTCTACTTGGAAGCGAGCAAAAAAGCTCATACCTAAATTTAGATACAACACTTAAATGAAAGAGCAACAAAACCATTTCTGTTATGTCCTCTTTAACTTCAGACACTGTAAAAAACGAGAAAAAAAAATCAAGATGTTTTGGTGACCTTCGACGGGTGTGGTTGTGAAAGATGTTTTCGAGAGCCTGCGGCAAGCTGCATTTCCAATCGTCTGCGTCAGGCTGACGCTTTCACTGAAAGCGGGAGGATGTGGTCGTGAAGATATATGAAAGGGAAGCCAAAAGAACCTTTCGAATTTAAGAAACAAAAAAAGAAAAAAGCTTCGACCGTGTGCATGGTAATACTTCAAAAATATATCCATGCAAATATCTTTCCCCCCAGTTATCAGCGAAAGTGACGTCATCGATGGTGCCAGTGCAGTGACCCTCACTAGCCTTTCAGCCACGTTACAAGACTAGCTCAGTTGTGATTCCCCTCACGCTCGCTCCCCCCCCCCCCCCCCCCCCCCCCCCAAGTCCGCCACGCGTTGTTCGAAGCCCCGTCTGAAATTTCGTTCCAGAACTGAGTGTTCCATAAAGTACAGTGGAACGCCATGTCGACGCTGCGCTTCAAAGCATATCTATTCCATTAATTAGAGCGCATTTACGATGGCAGCCATCCTCAAAACAATGGCGCGTCGATGGACGAGAAGTGGGTTAGGGGGTGGGGGTACGGTTCGTGAAAGCAGCGTCTATGGACAGTTCCGTAACTGAATTAACCAAGTGGAATTGCCTCTCAGCTGGCTCGAATATACCGAAAATGACGTCACGACACTTTGGACAAAGAACAGATGGCAGAGCCTGTTCTATTCCTTACTTTATTTTATGTTGAAGTTTGGACTAGTCGGTATACAGACATACGACAAAAACGGCGCGAAGACGAGGACAAAGTAAAAGGTAACCGATAGGACACCGCGCCGATCCCGTCGGTCACCTTTTACCTTGTCCTCATGTGCGAGCTGTTATTGTTTTAATTATGTATTTATTTTATGTGTGTGTGTGTGCATTTTAATTACTTATCCCCCTCTCCCCCCTTGCCTCCAAGTAAATAAAAGGTTCATAAAGAAAAAAGAGTTCAGGCATACCCTGTGACAATTGCGGCTCGTTTTTTTTTTTTTATTTCTATCAAAATAAAAGCGGTTCACGCTAAATCCTGCCGAATATTAGTGCAATAACCAAATTTAAAAAACAAAATAGTGAAACTTACAATGCGTTGCTTCTAGCTCAGTTTCTAACGGAGACTGTTATAGGGCTGACTATCGTAATATCAGCGAAATACTACAAAAGAGAGTACATCAAACTTTCGTACGGTCGTGAAATTTAGCGTACTTACACCCCACAACAATTAGTAAGCTTGCGACGATTATTTAGTATTAATTAGTCATTATAGTAATTAATTATCGGGAGAAAAATTTACGCATTTTCCTCTTGCACATTCTGTCTCTCTCGAGTTTATTCATACGATTAAGATACATCACAATCTTTAAGTGCTTCTCCTTCCCTTTAGAGCATGACAAAAGTAAAATAATTAAACTCCCCGACAGTTTACGAAACACATGGCAGAGAAAGTCCTTATTATCACCCCGCAGGCCATCACATTGCGCCGATTATGGCGCCGAAGAAGTAGACACGAATAAAAGAAAAATGCGTCCACATACTAAACCGTTCAAAATGAAAGCTTGGGCGAGTTGGTAAGGGCCCTGATGATTAAAACGTTATGAACACGAAGGCAGGAAAGAAGATTGTGTGCGCTTACTTCTGTTGCTGACCGACAGCGATTGTGTGTCCTCTTTCTTCTGTCCCGTCTGTTGTGCGCCGCACGTTTTAATCAATAATAAACCGCGCCTTGATTTTCTTAAGCGGCCAGCGATTTTAGAAAACAATGGCTTTGCTAAAGTTCGGACAAGATCGGCGCGCTCTTCTAACTTCGGCCCCAACTTTGTGTTTGACGAGTTTAAAGCCGCAGCAAAAAGAAAGGACGCCATCTTCTTCGGACGATACCTTTCCGCGTGTCTTCCACTTCCTTTAGACGTGCTCGACATGTTCATGCTCGACATCTATCTCATGCACCAAAAAATAACACTTAAAAAAAAAAAAAAAAAAAAAACATTATTACGAACCAGTGCACAGGTAGACAGTTACTCAAAATCCAAACACACGGAAAAATACACTCACACAGCGCTGAACTATCAACCCCCTGATTTGTATTTCAAACTTCCTCTTCTTCAACCCCAAGGAATAGGTTGCCAAGGAAGAAAACGGGAAAGACAAGGCAAAGGAAGGAAAGGCGAAAGAAAAAGAAAAACAGGAATGAATGGAAAAAGGAAAATAGAAGACAACGAAAAGGAAAATAAAGGCGAATAACACTAATACAGCCGAGTCCAAGAGTTACAAAAAAATCTTTTTCTTTCGCCTTTCCTCCCGTTGCCTTGTCTTTCCCCTTTTCTTCTTTGGCAACCTACTTCTTGGGGTTCAAGAAGAGGAAGTTTGAAATATAAATCAATTGATAGTTCAGCGCTGTGTGAGTGTATTTTTCTGTATGTTTGGATTTTGAATAACTGTCTAACTGTGCGCTGGCTCGTAATTATGCCTTACCAACTCACCCAATCTGCAGTATTCATTGGAACTTTTTTTTTTTTTTCTTTAAGAGTTTGGTAGAGCCGAATGCTGCAGTCTACGGAGGAGGCTCGGCGAATAAACGAGTATAAAAATACGTTTCGAGCTAGAAAAAAAAAAAGCTGTCTCCGCTGGGGCTGGTGAAACGCCGTGCTCAGCAGTACAACGCAGGCTGGATTTGATATCTAAACATTCTTTTTTGCTTCGTTATCTTCCAAGATTCCTCCGTAGACTGCATAAAGTTAATATAAATTCGGCAGAGTCATTTAAGACTGCTTACGTACAGGAATGCGAACGCATTCCTGCGCGCAGCGCATTCCTACTAGCTGCGCGCCACGTCAACTTTTTTTTAACACGGCGCTCCGGCAGTGACGTCACGCTCCCCCACTGCGCATGCGCGGCGAACCCCGCCGGCTTCACTACGGCTTCAGTGACGAAGCATCTGCGCTGCTGTGCTTTTCTTTGTGTTTTAATTCTGAGGCGCGCCCGCTCGGACCTTGAGTGGTGCGTGCTTGATGACGTATTTTTATGACCCTGTTCCGGGCACAACGCCGACGCCTTTTCGCGTAATGGGACAAGTAGTACTAATCTAGATTAGAAGGTCCCATGCATTTGGGTCGCTTCGAAATGGCGGGGAATAGACGCAGATATCGTTGGTGCCAGTTGGTAGTCCCATATCGCTGTCGACGCGTTAATATACAAAAAAAAAAAAAACGCAACAAAACATTACCTGTTAGGTCAGCACCTACTTTTTTTTTTCTAGCTTACTTTGCGGAAAAGCACCAGGATCGCGCATTTCACGATAATAATTAATGTTGACAAGCGCTCAAACAACTTGAACTCGTCGCAATTAAACTGACACTAGTACATTTAAAAAAAAAGGGGGCGGTAGCTTTACTTTTTTTGTTTTATATAATACTCACTGAAAATTTAGTTCGACGTACAGTTCACTGATGCCGAATCGAAGGTACAAACTTTTACGAAGAGCTTGATAACCGTGCGATATAACATAAGAAACAGCTAAAGCACGCATTAAAAAAACTACAAAACGGAACGACAATAAAAAAAGCACAAAAAACGTTGAGGTCTTGTAGTAGGGCCAGGAAAACTCCAATTAGTCATTTTTGCAGTCACTGATACGCATATTACATATTTCAAAACGGCAGTGCGCTACACGTCGAATTGAAGTTTTGGAGTGTATTATATGTAACCAGGGGCGTAAGACTATACTTTTTTTTTTTTTAATTGCAACATTTCGTTTGCTCTTCTGCCACTCTCGTTCTTCCTCTCGAAAACACCTATGTCAGAGCTCAGTGTTCGCCGTGCTCTGCTTCCGTCTTTACACCCTTGGTAGAACGCAACAGTTGACTCTTCCCAGTGCTTTACGAGAAAGTACACGCTTCAAATTTCTTAGAACTTACGCCCTCCATTTATTTCAAGCCCCAAATTAACCTTAGCAAAAAAACGTGTATATTAGTCCCACGTTTATTACAAAACTCCTAAACGCTACGAAAAAAAAAAAAAAAAAAAGAAAAAGTGGGGTAGCCATTGTCAATTTTAAACACCTTAATTCTCCTTCGCGGACAGTTGCTGACAATGGAATGGTTGTCGGTGCTCTACCTTGCCGTGGCGTCGGTTCTGGCGGCATACCTGCTGGCCATTTTGCCACGAAAAAGAACTCTTCCCAGAGGCGCCAAGCTGGCCCCGGGTCCCAGTGGCCTCCCCATTCTCGGCCACCTGCCGTTCATCGCCAGAAGCATACACGAGGTCAAATGCAGGGACTGGGCTAAAACCTACGGCCCCATTGTCAGGTAAGCAGGTAACCGAGAGACTAAAAATAAAGCTAAAACCCAGCAATGAAATAATAAAAAAACACGGGGTATTTGAGAAAAAAACGAACCCTGTTTTTTTTTGTTTTTTTTCACGAACTAAAATACGCATTACGCAATTATTGGTGTCGGCCTAAATCATAAAGCTAGCGGTTAGAACGAGATTCTGAAGTTTCAAAACTTAGGATCATATAAGTAAAAAAAGTTATCAGCGATTAAAGAAATACTCAGTAAAGAAATGCCATCCAATGAAGACGCCAAAATATAGATATAAATGGTCTATACTGCAGAAGAAAGCACATTTCCTGATTAGTGTTTTTTTTTTTTGAATCGCTAATAAGTTTTTGATTTAAATACTAGCTAGTTCTGGTATTTTGACATCTGGACTCAACCAGTATGGGCGGAAACTAAGAGTTTGGCGCCGTGTTGCTTACATTTCTGGTGAAAAAAAAACAAGGTTCTTTCTTTTCTCGAACACCCAGTACATTAAGGACGACGACGACAGATATACAATATTTGCTGGCTAGAAATTGGCTTTTATTTTATAGGAGGTTTTCCGCTGATACCCCATAACAAGGAGTTACCCAGGACGCAATAAACAACATGAAAGGGGGGATACGTTGGTAAACACAGCATAGACAGAAGTTTTGTACATGTTAGGACGAATGACAAGCATTTACGACTGGCATACTTATCTGCCTTTATCACCTAAACCTTTGTTCTGAGTTTAAGCTAAAGTATATGGCGGACAAACGCTCCCCATCCTTCGGTGTATTTTAAACAAGACACAAAAACAAATATAATACATAGTGTGATGTATCTGGCATTTTGCGTCGGCGTGACAGAAAAAAACAACTGATGATAATTATATAAAACTGTTGTCATCGAGATCTTAACAAACGGACGATGTGGCTAGTTTTGTTCAAGATGTTTGCTTCATGATTGGTCCTTTGTCGTGCTTATCTTCTGATGCCTCAATCTCGTGGCGTGAGGAACAATAACGAGTTGCGTGTCAGTGATTATAGGAAACAACTTTCTTCACGCCGCTTTTCGTAAAATGCGAATGACCATAGGATGTGTTACTCTCAACAAATTCTGAAAGAATGATCCTCGTAGAACTTGCAACTGTTTAACTTGCAACTATGCAACTACCATAGGATATATTTAATACTCATTTCTTAGCATCAGGTGTACCCTCCTCTTCCCAAACCAATGAAGGCAATGCCACGTCATATGAGTCACAGCATATCTAACTCTATTTTCTTTTTCCCGACTGATGAGGAAGAAATACTCACACAGATTGCTAGTCTTAAAAAAGAGTACTGCTGCAGGTGAAGACGGCTTTAAAGCCTGAACCAATCAAAGCCAAGTTTAGAATTATAGATGCTCCATGAACACACATATGTAGCCTATATTTGTCAAAAGGTTGCTTTCCCAACCGAATGAAGGCAGCGCGAGTCTGTGTGTCTGTGTTATCTATCTTAATCTATTTTTTGTGTCATCAAATGTTACGCTAGTAGAGTGTTGCACTACCAGGCTGCTGCCAATGTAATAAGGGTCCCGACCCAGTCAAGCTATCCAACGTCTTTTTCTCTGGGACTCCTTCCAGTGTTGCTGGAAAATAAAGCTTTGATTTGATTTGATTTGACATAAGGGTGGTGTACAAAGCGACCTAAATTACTATAAATCAATCTCAGATGTGTTTTTTCAAAAAAATTTGGAACACATAATAAACAGCCGATTGACTAGCTTCCTTACAAAAACATAAAATAATTACAGAAAGCAGTTTAGTTTTCAGAAGAATAAGTCGAAAGAAATGGCACTCATTAGCATTAAAGATAAAAGCATTACCAATATTGAAAATAAGCAACACACAATCGGAATACTCGTTGACTTTAAAAAAAAGTATTTAGATTCCATGAAGCACTATATACTTTTTAATAAATTCACAATATACGAAATAAGAGTGAAAGCGCTAGAATCAGTGTCTATTTACTTGAGCTGTCAGTCACGATTCATCATTTTAACTGCGTTAAATAGGATCTTAAAAAAATTGCATATGATGTTTCGCAGGGTTCCGTTTTAGGACCATTGTTATTTCTTGCTTAAAATAATGATATAGTTAATACTTCTCACAATACAGAAATTGCATTATATGCAGACGTCTTTTTTCACACCGTGATCTCTGACAATTTGAATATACATCCAATGATTGTTTGAATAAACTATTTGCGTTGCTAGTTACAAACCAGCCTGAGTTGAACATTTCAAAAACTAAATATATTGTGTTTAGGAAAAAAAATAAGTTGCTTATCACTGACATCGACATTAGGTTTAATTCCTCCAAACTAGAAAAGGTCGAATCTCAAAACATTTTGGGTGTGTAGTTTCATGAAAATTTTTTCTGGACAACTCATATATCCAAGTTATATTTAGTCCTTTACGGATCAACCGGCATTATGCACAAAGTCAGACTTTATTACCAGTATGGCTAAAGCATCGAATATTATATAGTATGCACTCATTCACTCTCATATACATACATGTTCACTGGTTTGGGAACAGCATCAAAAGGCAACATTGATAAAATACTACTGCTTCAAAAGACGGCTCTTCGATCCATCAAGTGCTTGGGCTATAGTGAACATAGCTTTATTTATATTCAAAATCATTGTTTTCTCACTTTTGAGCAGTTAATTACCTTCAACCTTACAAAAGTTATTTTTGATTATTTAAAAAACAACAAAGAGCTTTTTTTAGGTCAACTTCCTTTAAAAGACATTTCCTACAACTTAAGACGCGTAATACATGTTAAAGAGAAAATACGCATGAACTATGGAGATAAGACTTTAACACAGCAAATAACTTCTCAATGAACATCCACAAATTTTGGATATGTCAGAAATAGCAACATCTCTCAATATATTTTAAGAAAAAAATGAAGACCTATATTTTTGATGACGTGTAAAACCTTGCGTAGAAATGTATATATTTTTTGTTCAGGTATATTTTGTTTTGCATAGGATTGTGTTTCAGTTTTTTGCTGCGTCGCTTTTAAATTTGTATGGGGCGTGGGACAATGATCAGGTGAATTTTTTCACCTTTTGTCCCCGCCACCCTAACCAAAATGGCCAATAAATGAATGAAATGAACTCTCGGTGTTTCCCAGGATCAACATGTGCTACCTGGATGTCGTCGTCTTGAACGATCTCGAGAGCATACGAGATTACTTCTGCAAGCAGGAAGTACTCAATCGACCGTCCAACTGGCTCTTTAAGCTTTCGGGAATACAGGGTACGTATATGCTCCGCGGTCCCACGGTCCTAATGAGGTAGAACTTTGCTGTGTGGTTTTCATAGGTAAGAATCATACTAGCTTCGGTTTAATTCGTTAGACAAGATGTAATTATCTTTATGATGAACAGGTGGGAATGCAGGATATCAAAATACCCTCCTACACTGTCAGGTACAACTTCGAAACAAAATTAAGCTTAAGTTCTCAGATAGCCAACAAAGTTGAAGAGGGTTGACAAAAGCTGTTCAATTTTGATGAAATCTGTTTGAGGCTGACTTAAACACTTGACTTAAAGTGAGTAAGTTATCGAGACCAGGGACCATTCCAATAATCGCTTTCTGTGCCCTGCCATCTTTTGTGGACTACGTTGCGGAACGCGTCCAGAGCTTGCGCAGATGCCTTCTCTCGGGAGTATCAAAGGCTTCCAATGCATTCAGAGCTCAGTGACTCGGCATTTTCGTTCGTCTGGGTGAAAAGCGCTAGAGGAAAATATTAAACCAAAATAAAATATTACCATCCTCGCACGCGTACCAAATTAACCTTGACATACGATCTGAGTGTTGCTTACACGAAATTAAGGAAAAAATATTATTTCTTGAGTTATAATTTTTTGAGGATGACTGTACGCATTCATACAAAAGGGAACATCACAACTGAACGCAAGCATTACTGCTTGCAGCTGACTAATGGCTTCGTCGACAATCACGCAGGTCTAGGGCTGCTGAACGGGCACCAGTGGCGGGACAACAGACGGTTTTCGATGCACGTTATGAGGGACCTTGGATACGGCAAGACGCACATGGAACAACATGTCATGGTAAGTGGATTTCTCGCGCAACATTTCATCCAGTTTTTTGTTTAAGAGCAGCGTGTTACTCGCTAACAAGTTACTGTTACGTCACGACTGGTAGGTTGAAGGGTCGTTACTGCTCAAACAAAAAAAGTGTTTAGAGATTTACCACCCTTGCGGTGGTTACGGCAAAGACTTGTGGCAGCTGCTAACCTCCGTTTGCTCTGCTAATGGCTAGCTCTTGGCTCACTCAGTTGGTAGAGCGCTCCACTAGTCCTAGAGAGGGTCATGGATCGGTTCCAGGACCAGGCGGATTTGTTAGTGGCAACAACATGCTGCCTGTCTTTGCGGTGCATTGTGAGCCACGGCATCAAGAGTTACGTCGGTATACCACAAGCAGCGACGAACCACACTAAATAGAAGCGACTACCATGAAAATGGAGAGGCAGCTGTCAAAAAGTGACATCCGGATCCTGACAGGAATCGCTGTCAGAAAACGCAAAATAACAGCTCTCCGGATCACTGCGCATTTGAATGCACACCTCGACTCACCTGTTTCCACCAAAAGCGTTCGTTGCAAGTCTCGCAGGGTGAATATTCCGGGACACCTGTTATTGTCTAACCCTAATCACAGGTGGCAGGGTTAAGCTTCTAGTTCAGTAATTGTAATTGTGTAATGATGTGTGTTTGTTTATACAGCGTGAAGTTATAGTATGCCTCAGTGTGTTACTAGTATCTCAGCTGTAAAAAAAGGAAATAGCCAGTGAAGTACCACTACTAGCCTGGGGTCTTTAACGTGCATCACGCAGCAGTGGTACCCCACAGCACATTCATATTATGCAGTGTGCGGTGGGGTATCCCACCGCACACCGGTACGGATCATTGGGCTCTCCTGGTTCATTGTACACCCGTCAGCGATATGAAGGTGAACAGCCCTCTTCTTATTTTTGACGCTCCTGCAAGTTTTGGAACAAGCTCTGTTCCAGAAGAGGACTAGAACGCAAAGTTTAGAACCCCCGCCACGCACCATTTGAGACGTTGAAAGTTAATATTGCTTTAGGGAGCCGTAAAACAGGCAAGAAACCAGGTATGGTGTTCACCTTCATATTGCCGGCGGGTGTACGTCTAGTATTTTCCAAAGAATCCACGTCTTGACTGTGTTTTCTTCCGCTGGAAGCGTATACGCGTGGTGAAGCCCTTCAAAAGCTTACAAATCAAACTCTCTCGTGTATAGAGAGAAACGGAATGTCTATAATTCCAAGACTTCGCGGCCCAGTCAGTAATCCACTTGTGCAGAAGTGGATCAGTGATTAGGCCGCGAGGTCTTGGAATTATGGACCCTCCGAATTTTCTCGATGGGCACACCAGTGTCAAAAATTACCGGGCAACTCTGAAGGACTGAAGTGCCCTGACTGATAGGAAAACTATACCTAGCAGGTGGTGGTGTCCATTTTCTATTATAAAACGTCTAGAAATCGGCTATTAATTTCAAATAAAATATATCCAACTCCGGAAACATTGCCCTATAGCCCCAATCACTGGAGCTATATTCCGGATAAGATCGGGCGTTCGGTGATGCGTAGTTTAGTTTTCATGTAAAACAAACACGGTTACCTTCACTTGCAAATACCTTACATACAGATTTAGTTTGTCTAGATGATCCACTTAGTTGACACGGAGAGCGTACCTCAGTCTTTAGACATAGTTCAACGAGCAACGCTGATTACACTCCAGTCATATCAAATAAAAATTGTTCATATTTCGTACGGCTTGATTGTAATCAGTCAGCGACAGAACAAAACATTTGTTTGGTCACCAATATTGCCGCAGATTTCTCAGGTAGGGAAAGAGCCAATTTTGTGTGTAGGCAAACCGTATTGGTGGTACGCTTTGCTCGTTAAACCGACCCTTCCATAATTAAAAAGCAAAACAAAAATTCAGTTTTTTTGTTGTAATTTAGAAATAAACTGAGGTGAAAGCCGAAGGCTTCATACTTTTCTGCACGCACACGAGCTACACGCAATCACAGTGCTCGAAGGCCTTTTCCCGCTAAGTTAATTATAAAAAATAATTGCCTCACTGATATAGTGGAGAAAATTTGCCGCTAAATCTCACGTCATGGTGGGGTTGTTTTTCCGCGAACGTCACGAGGACACGCGACGTCACGTGAGACCATGATGTCACGTGGTGCTTTGACGTCAAGTACGAAACCCGCCCGAGCGATCCGCGTGAGAACCTCGCCAAAAAGGGAGTTTCAGTGGATAGCTCCAATACATCGGATAACGTTACCTGATAACCATACGGCGCATGCATAAAGTCATCGGCGGATTATCGGGTATACCTTTTTCGGAGTTAACAAAACGATTCACTAAAACTCCCTTATAACGTCTGTCGCCGTAGTAATAGGCCACACGGCGTTGGCTCTGTGGTTATTCTGGGTTGTGATGCATGTCTGACCCTGCAGGAGGAGTCCCAGTACCTGGCGGACAAGATCGCGGAGGCCAAAGGCGAACCTGTCGTGCTTGAAAAGTACCTCAACCCCAGCGCGTCCAACATCATGTCGGCTCTCCTGTTCGGTGCTCGCTACGCGTACGAGGATCCGCGGCGCATGCTGCTCGACAACAACATGGCTAGGATCGTCAGTATCCTCAGCAGCGGATCCGTTGTGGCCTTCCCGCCCGCCTGGTTCCACAAGGTGGCCGGGATGGTGCCGTTTCTGGTCAACGGCGTCGTTCGAAGCATCACGCAAAACTTGGTGGATTTCGTCAGGTGAGGTCAGCCGCTGGTTCAGCGTTAGTCGTTGTTTTGGGGTTCCGCGTACAAAGTAGCCTTAGAAACATGCTCGTTTTCGCACGCGATGTTAGTCTGTTTGCAATGGTTAGTGAATATGTCAGTACAGACGTGCCACACATACATTCGATATTTTTACATGCGGCCATTTATGAGCATATAAAGGCGCAAATAGGCCGTGTATCGTCGTATCCGCGAGGATACACGGCCACATATTTCCACATAGGCGAGAAAGGCGCCCATATATGGCTGGGTTTAGCGATAAAGGGGTCAGAATGTAACGCATATATTATCTTGTAAAGCCCGTATATAGGTCGCAAAATGGACGTATATAATATAAGGATCAAAAGTGCCATATGGCCATTACGAAGACTAGCTCTCATTTGATCGATCTAGGTCAAAATTACACGCACCCTTTACCGCCTTTAAGTTACACCGAGTTCAAAGGGAATGTTGCTCGGCGGATATTAAATTTATCTTAACACTAGGAAAGCCACAAATAGTTTTATACACTGTACGAGCTATCTCCGTGACTCGAGACGGTAAATTATGTTGAAAATCGTCTGTTCTTTTTTAAGCTAATGTAGCGGTGCTCGTTTCTACAGGCCTGCCAAATCAGCGTTATAACTAATAAGTTATTCTTGTAACATAGAGGCCAAAGACTTAAACTACCTCCACGCTGACGCCTCTATATGTTTCAAATCGTCATTGAAACAGAAAAGAAAGTATTGATATTTTTCGAAACGGGACAGTGATGCCTAGAAACTGGCACAAATAAGAAAACACTATACGTGACTGTTCAGTATATTTGATGGCAGGACTCAGTACAGTCGCCTTTCATTACCTTTCCGGTTATACAACAATTCACAAGTATGCTCGCGTGGGCGAGCACATGAGAGCAAACCAAAGCAACGTAAAATAACGCGATCGAAAAGAAAAACAAAAATAAACATTGACAATTGGATGCATACTTTTCACTCGCAGAAGAGAAATCAAGCAGCATCTGGACACACTGGAGGAGCATACCAATCGGGACTTCATCGACGGTTATCTGAAAAAGATAACAAAGCACAAGCATGAGCCGGAAACGAATTATACGAGTAAGTCCTCTTTCCTCTATGGTGCTCGCGCATGCAAAGCACGGCGGGAGGCGACGAATGCGTGCTGCAGGCGTTTAAATAAGACGCCCAGGTCGTCCTCACTTTGTCAGTGACTAGAGTACCAACAAACACTTTCAGGGACCGCAGGGTTTTTAAAGGGACACTGACACCCGAAAAGTCGCGTTTTTTTAGTACTTTTTTTTTGTCTAAAGCTATGTAAGTTGTAGTCATGGACACGCAAAAAAATATCACAATACGAAAAAAAAAAAAAAATTCCAGGCGCGCAAGCCTTTTTTTTTTGTCTTTCTCTCCCGCTTCTCACCTCTTCGCTTGTTTTTATGCGTGACGCAATTGATAATGAAATTTAGAATCTTTCTAAGCGAGATTTCTATGTTATTTAATAACGGCATTCGTAAAACATGCTTTTTAACGCAATTGCGAACGCAGTATTGCCCTTTTTGAAATTCCGAAAATCGGAGTACGGAGTGATGTCGCCTCCTGGTTTTTTATCCTCCCTCGGAATACACAGCGGAGCTCGACAGATTGAAACACTGAGGATGATTGGCAACGTTACTAGAACAAGTCAGTTGGGAAACTGCCATAGAGCCTGCTTTGGAAAAGTGGCTTTGATCCGTACTCGAGAACCGAACAAATGGCGATCGCAACGCCACCTGCTCTCGCGCAGCGGCAGCTCCGTGAACTGCACGTCTGCACGTATCTGTCCAGGTCGAGTCGCGCAAGGGCCGGTGGTGCCATCTCGCAATGCTATTTTGCAGTAGGAATATAAATGAACTTTCATGTTTTGACTAGTCGCTAAAGGGTGGTGCTGTTATTGCGTTTAGTTTTGTCTCCGTGGACGCGAGAGGTCCGTGTTTCAAGGGTGAGTTTACTAACTGAGTGTTTCACTAATGTTGATGCAGGGGCGGATTTGGGGGGGGGGGGGGCGACCTCCTCCCCTCCGTTAAGCTCTTTAAGGTCAATTATATTTAAATAAAATAAATCAACCCCATAAGTAATCCAGCCAAACGTTTAGTTTTTAGTGACATAGGAAGTATTGGGTGAACACAATAGATTTGGGCAACGTTTAGGCCGTAACGTCAAATCTCAACACCCCCCCCCCCCCCCGCGTAAGCCGAATGCCTACCGCCCCTCCCAGGCATGACCCATAAATCCGCCCCTGCGTTGATGATCGGTGAGTCGGCAATCGGACGAAGTTCTCTTCTTTAGGTGACCGACGACCTCTCCGACTTTGAAAGGGAAATCGTCAAACGGTCAAAAGCAACTAGGTTCTGTGCGCCGTAGGTTCAGTTGTGACTCCACCGGCGCCAGGGCAGCCTTTCACTCAGAACCGGCAAGACGTGGCACCTCACGTCACTCACAAATATCCAGCGCGCTTTCTCTTCGATCTCACACTGTTTCAAACAATTTGAGATCGCTGAAAGAGCCCTAAAAGAACTTCGAACTCGAAAGTGAAGCGTCGTCTGCTCACAGCGATAGGCGGCACGCAAAGGTGTTTCTCGCGGGACGTGGGCGAACAGGACCCTTCGGGTCAGTTCGGAGGTGTGAGAGAAACTCGAGTTGCAGGACGACTCAATCTTTCACGTCTCCGCACTGGCGCGGGTCGAGCAGGAACTTCAAATTCGACTTTGGGAAATCGTTATTTTTTTTCTTTACAAATACTGAGTTTCGAAGTTTAAAATTCTGAGGGTAATGTCCCGGCATTGCTTTCAATCGTCCCAGATAAAAAAAAAAAGAACCACAACAGGATTTTGATTTGTCAGTGCCCCTCTAACGTCATTGTTCGAGGTCAGCTCTAATATAATGTGCCTTTCATGTGTCATAGGAAGTTCTGCACCGAGGCTTGCAGCCGACTCTCAACAAATTTCGTTATGTCGCATAATCAAAATAGCACACCGATAGAAAAACTCAGTACCGGTTCTCCATAAAATAAATACAAAAATAAAAACTCAGTAAAGCATTAGTTCGAATTTGCCCAGAAACTGCAGGAGAGAAGAAGACGAGAGCGCGTGGGGAAGTCAGGACGCCAAGTTTTGATTAGATTGATTAATGGGGAAACGCAAAAACTAGCTGTGTTTGTCTCCACTGCACTCGTCGAACGCGTTAGGACTCAGAAGCCCGGCGTCCGGCGGTTAGCTCTCGCATCCCAACGCGCTCGATGACTGCAGTGGAAACAAAGGCAGCTTTAGGTCTACCGTAGCCTCCTCTATACTCACAACGCCTTGCAGCTCGACGACGGAGCCATAGAGTGCCCAGTCGCAGATTTGGAGCGCGATGATCTGGTAGCACACAACATCAAAGAGCCATTTCTCGGGAATCTGGACGTTAGCGCACAACTTTTGCAGCGGCGAGGACCCGAAACACACTTGTTCGCTCGGGAAAAGTGTGTTTCGGCGTCTCGCCGCAGCGGGGCGCCAGTCACGTGGCTCTATTCTCATCCGTTGTCTGCCGCACCACCTTTTCCGTTTCGGTGGCCGCTTCTCGTGGCGATCTGCCAGGCTTTGTCACTATATAGGAGGCTATGGGTCTACCCACTAATCATTCGAGCCAGAGCTCGGCGTTCTGGCGTCCCTAAAGTCCCTCAATAAACGCTTTGCTAAGTAGCGTCAGGAGTGATGTGCCGACCTGCTCTCCCATTGGTCCGTGCTCGCGTTTCGTTTCCGGTTAGGAATAACATGCCGAGTAACGCTTTGGTGCTTTGGCGTTCGAAAACCTACCCGCGTTCAGCGTTGTTCCGTCTGGATTGTCACGGGACATGACCCGCCGGAGTAACTCGGAAGATTTCAAACACAACCATGGTGGGCGAGTTAGGAAAAACATGGCGGGCCACGCGTTAGAAGACGACAGGAGCGAGGAAAGTAGGACTTGTCGCTACCTCGCATAGCGTTATCTAGGGACCTTAGATGTTCCCACGCGCTCCCTTCTCCTCATCTCCCTTAGTTTCTCGGAAAATTATATATATATATATATATATAGTTGGCGAAGTTCATTCGTAACTTTTTTATAAAGGTTGGGCCCGTAATTCGACCTACACCTCTAATTATTTATAACATTTGGGCTGTATACATGGGAATTACACATGACGTTATTTTACCGTACCAAATATATATTTTCTACTCGTTTGTTCCAAGCAAAAACATTCGATTCCGGGAGATAAAGACCAGTCTCCGAAATCCTAGCCCCCAGCGATAGGAATGGGAAATAATAATCTCAAACGTTGGCTCTTGTTAAGAGAGGGGCTGCGCATGAAACAAGATTTTTCTTTTACAGCACTTTTGACATCGGTGTTGTCCTTGGAGCTCCGCGACTATACATTTCTGATGTTCGTGCGTTACGATATGTGCAAAGGTTTCTAAGAAAAACGGAGCCTTGCAAAAATCGCTGCCCCCAATTTGTATCATGGCGTCAGCAGAAACAAACATTGCGGCGCGCATGGAACAGAGCAGACACTGGTCTACATGCTGCAGAAGGAACGTGTGCGCCAGCAAGGGGCACCGAAATGGCCGCCGATGTGACGCCAGAGCAAGCAATGTATAGAGGAAACCAATGTGTCTTAGGTGTTCGCAGACAGGTTAATCGGAGAAATCAAACCCTCCGGTATTGTTACTCGTCCCCATGGTTCGGTTCTTTGTGACAGGGACCAAAGTATTTAGACATCAGTATTTTACTGCGTCCCATGCACTTCCAAAGACGATTGCATCATCCTCCACACAGCGGACTTTCTGGTGGGCAACATCATGAGCTTCTTCATCGCCGGCTCCAACACTGTAGCCGTAAGCATCCAGTGGCATCTGCTCAACTTTGCCAAGAACCAGGACACACTGCAAGCCAGGGTCCACCAAGAAATCGACGAGGTCATCGGCAGGGAAAGGCGACCAGCCTGGGATGACCATCACCTGATGCCCTTCACCATCGCCACAATCTGGGAGATGTACCGCTGGAGGACAAATTCTCCGTTCGGTCTTCCGAGAGGGTGAGGCGTCACCTAAATTTGAGCATTCCTCAAACTAAATTCGGTCACTTATAAAGCGACCGATTCTTATGGGAACTCTGCACGAGCCGTGCTTGCTCGTGAATATCGCACCATACAAACGCCACGGGAGAGAATGTCGGCGACGGAGTGCAGCTGCTGGTTTGCCGTCATAGCATTCTCGACCAAGGGCGCTGCGCTGCACAGAGCTCACTGGGGAAAGGGGGGGGGGGGGTAGGGGGGAGAGGAAAGCGGTGTGTAGAAAAGAGGACTGTGTAATAGGCTAGGAACTGCGCATAAGCGCTACCGCCCTTCGTTGGGTGGGTTAAGTGGAAACTGCATGACTTCGACTCGAGTCATTCCGTCGGAGTTTCCACTAAACGGGCTTATAGAGTACCTCCGGATGCAGTTCGCACCTTCTATGTGAATTTCAGGTTGTTTTCTTTCGCTTTGCTTTTCTTGGGGAACATTGCAAGATGGCCGGCACGCCCACAAAGCAGAACACAGAAGACGGTAATCTGACGCTAATGCTGCTCAAACGTAGACTTGCATCGTTGTTCGCTCTTTATAACGCCTGAAATTGGGACTGAAGCGAATGCAACTTCTCTTAAGCACGCAGTAAGTCAATTGAATTTGTCTATTGCCAATAAAGGTAACATATAGTGAGCTTTATTTTGCTTAACCGTCGATTCGGAAAACAAAAACAAAATAAAAAAATAAACGTAAACGAAGTCGGATAGCGAAGTTTTTTGCATGTAATGCGCACCCGTTCGGAATGAAAAAGCTACACTGCTTTTTTAGAGCTAAGTGGCTATGGAATCATTTAGTTAAACTGCCTCAGCAACAAAGAACGAATGCAATGTACGATGCAAGCAAGAACCGCTGCGTTCTCAAGGTTGTGTTTGCAGTAAACTCACATCACACGAATGAGATTGAAAGAACACAGGAAAGATCTAGTGGATGCCAGTCGTGGGAAGTAGCAAACAGCGTTTACCAAGCTAGACGGACTTATGCGTAGCAACTCCAACGAAAACATCGGCATAAGGACGCAGACGATTACCTTAACGCATCACACAAGACTGCCACAACATACCCGCTTCATTATAAGGCTACACGATGGTATGAATAACATTTCGTTGCTTTCGCGACGATACATTCATCTTGTATCAGATACCTTTGCGAGAAAAACCAACAGTAGCGAAATGGCTACCAAAACAAGGGCGAGCAATCCACGATCGGCGTCAATTGGCGTCTGCTCTCGGCGAGATCTGGCGGAACTGCGTCACCGTTCCGAAAGTAGGACTATTTGACTCTATGAGGGCACCGAGCCCGAAGACGGAGTTCCGGGGTTTGACTCGAGTCACGAGCACCGGAAGTGCATGTTGTCCGTTTAGTGGAAGGAGTGGCTCGAGTAATGACTCCGAGTCGCTGCTTAGTAACGCACCCATTTGTAAGGGTAGACATTTGGTGAAATGTGTACCCTTACAAAAATTTGTAGTTAAATTATTTTGAACTTCAGTTAAAAATTTTCTGAAATGGTATTAAAACTATTTTTTAATGTTTTTTATTTAGGTTTCCCAGAGTTTATTTTGAAAACCTACTTACTTCCTAGTTAAAACTGGCCACTTGATTTTTTTAGAAGCCCTTCTGACATAAATATTGTCGAATTGTTTTTGACGAAACCGAAAAATAACGTAAAAAAGGGCACTCGAATTTTTTTAAATACATATTTTGGATTTCGTTGGCGAATATTGTCTCAGAGGGGTTTATACACACACCACAAATACACATTAGAAACGAACACAAACACCACGAAGCAATCAACACCAGAATGACAGACCCGTTGGCTGATCCAGAGCCTTATACAGCCTACATATTAAAGGTAATCATTTGGCCGGCGACCGCCTCAGCACTTATTAAGGTTCTCAGTGTCCGATCTTCTTCTCGGGAGTCTGTCAAGGGAAAACAATGTTTCGAAGTTCGTGAGCTCTATCTCTTACAAAAAGGCATCGGCACAACTAATAATAATTCGGCGCAGTCGTTAAAACAACAGCCACAAAAACAGCTACTAGAAGTAATTTTATTAGGGTTGTGCAAATAGTGATTGAAATCGAATAGCGCAGCGTCATCCCAAGCTTCAGCACTGTTGAAAGAACCGGCCGTCTTGGCTCTCTCTTGTATTGTCAAGGCTATGAACGACGCACAACCCTATATTTTTGTCGCTTTTCAGTCTTTACGAGCGAGAAGGATGGGGGGAGGGGGGTTAGGTTAACGCGTTTCAGCGGTCCGCCCATACGTAACGCTGGGCACAGCGAACTTTTATGTTACGTCGGACGTAACTTTATTTTTATTTTTGTTACGTCGGCCGTAACGCTACAAATTGCCATAAAAATAAGAACTTTCCTGGAGACAGATGTCGAGTTGAAGCCATTTTTCAACTTACGTTAGGAGTGTTGTTTTATCAGAATGCTTTATTACATAGAAACGGGAAAAGGAATGAAAAAGGTCCTTCATATTTTGCCTTTGTCCCCTGAATAATAATAAAAAAAAGAATCCTAGAGTAAAAGAAAAAGATGTGCAAAGTAATTTACGAACATTTTAAGAACTCTTACAAGTACGTCAACGGGGAATGTATTTTCCCTTTCAATATTTAAAAAAAGAGTGTGAGCTATTAATCTTCAAAACTCTGTTACAAATTATATAAAAAAGATGTCCTCGGTATTTTAATAAAATAATAAAAAATAATGTTTTTTTTAATAAAATAATATAAATAATATGTCAATATTTCTTAATTTTTTATAAATTAATTTAAGCAAAGACATGATTAATTGTTTTTTATATGTTTTTAGAAAATGACGTACAAACAAAAACCTCATTACTACGTCATTTTAATTTTTTTAACAAGTCTTCAAAAATCTATTAGTTTTTTAAAGTTTTTTTAACAATATTCAAAACAAAGTGCGCTAAAAAAGTTATTCAGCAGGATCTCGAAAACTCAGTAAGAAGGCTAAAAAAAATTAGGAAAAATATTGAGACCTGTTTTTGTAAGGGTAAGCCGGATCAAGTTGTGTTACCCAAAATAACTTCCCAGCATTTTCTGCCTATAATTCTCTAGTGATTTTGTTTAGACAGCGGGAGGTTAGTCAGCCCCAGTGAGCCTGAGGCGTCTCCGTTGTAGATGAGAAGTGTAGCCTGTGCAACACCACAGACAGCCTTGCATCACGCAGTAGCGATACACGACCATACGCCAGTACGATGCTCGTCCAGATGGAAAGGGGCAGAGGTGGGCATTGAGCCGAAAATGCCTGGGTTTTGCGGCTGTGAGCATTCGCTGTCACGTGCTCCAAGATTCTGTGCGCCAATAAAACACTGGGCCACCGATACTCTCTCGAACGACTTTACAGCGTTCCTCTAAAACCCAACCGGACATTCGACGCTGTTTTTCAGGGCCGAGGAAGACACCTACTTCGGCGAGTACTTCGTTCCCAAAGGAACGGTGGTCTTGTCTAACCTTTGGGCAGTCCACATGGACCCTGACGTCTGGAAGAACCCCGAGGAGTTCAACCCGTCCAGGTTCTTTACAGAAGACGGTTCCAGGCTAGCGCCCAAGCCGGACCACCTGATACCGTTTGCACTCGGTACGTCGCTAATAGTCTAAGCTTGACTCGAATTTCTTTTTGGAGCGAGTGTGGAAAACCGAACATTCTCGATCCTTGCGGTTTACTTCAGGTGATGTGAGAACAATCGTTTTGGTTGTTTCTAATGCAGCCTTCAGCTTACGTAGCTGAACAGTGCTTCAGCGTTGGGGTGGGACTCCAGTTTACAGTGACTGAACATTATTACCGGTCAGACGCTGACGAGGCACGTACTCGTGTCTAATTAATGCCCAGCGCTGTCCTCCGGTAGGCAGCGCAGAAAATCCAGCACTTCGATCTTCTTTATTTAGGAGCTGTTGGTTTCATCGGGGTCGATGACGTAATTAACCAGTAAACAGGCCTCGTTTTGGGTAGAAACCGAATTATATGAAAAACACGCTGGTTCGATCTACTGACTAATTAGCAGTAATCAGGAGCCAAACTGGGCTATGATTTCGCCGTAAGTCCGGGCACAGTTGACGCTACGAGCCGACGGGGTTAATCAAAAAGCGTAAACAGTGCAACGCCATGGCGACGGTCGTGTTTCCGGACAGATATCATTCCTGGCTAGACCAATCAAACTGCGTGAATTCTATTTTTCTAGCCCTTTTAGTATGAGCGTATACGTTTTCATGTCTTTTAGCCTAGCTCTGACCTATAATAAAACTAACTACAGTTGGTAGTCCGATTAGATGAACTTCGAAATAGCCTTCGTTTGGCTATGGTCATGTCGCTTGCATATTTGCTGACATGTTAATTTTTTTGTCGCTAAGTACACGTTTTTTTAGCGCTTCTTCTTCACTATGATGGCATGCTTGCAGAAGACGCTACTTAACGATAGTGGGAACTGGATAACCTAAATATGCAATTGTTTGTTACTGTGCGAAATCCCACCACACAATACGCGCCTTCACTGAGAGTTTCGGCTGGCGAGGGTCGTTTCAAACGTAAAAGGTTTCCTATCGCTATACGTTGTCTCACATTAAGTCAGGCCTCAGCCAATACTACGGTACAATTGAGCTTGTGAAGTAGAGCCAAACGTGTAACGTCCTGGCGATCGTCCCTTTTCTGCGATTGCTGTAACCAGCCAAATCAATGATAACGCGCAGAAAACGCGTCGTGATTTTCCGTGTCTTTTTTTGTGTGTGTGTGTGCGTAATTGACTTAACCGGTGACGACAAACGCGCAAAGACGACGAGCGCCATGACAATGCATTTTTGGCGTCGCTTGATTGGCTTTATTGGATCGTAGCGCTGGCTGCGGTGGTACTTAAGGATTTAGTATAGCCGCTCCTGCCGCGGCAAAGATTAGATCAACTAAAATTTGGACGTCTTAAGCGTTAGACCAACGAAGAGCACCTGGCACGCCCGAGCGGAAGATTGAAGAATGATTTCGTCCCACTTGGGAATCTTTTGATGTGAAACTGAAATCTCGGTTTAACATCCGCAATAGGCCTCTGTCAAATTGCAGGCACCGAACGGAAAGGATTCGAACCCCCTACCTGGGAATCCGTAGGCCGTTGCTCTGCCTTAGAGACACTGAGGCAACTCGACAAAGATGAGCGGGCTTAGCAGACCTCTACATCGAACTTTACACTGTGAAGTCCAACAAGGATGCTGGCTTGAAATAATAAAATACGAGCAAGCGATGAGCACGCGTTCCTGTCGCACCTCTGTTGCAACGCGTAATCCATCGGCGAAACGCGATAAGTATCTCTCAGTAGCTCACCTTGAGGAAACATTGAACAGTGTGTATCCTGCTGCTGGTCGCTGTCTTCCTCGAAAGAAATTTTTTTCGCGCCTTCCGGCTTATTGCAGGAAAACGAATGTGTCCCGGAGAAACGCTGTCGACTATGGAGATCTTCCTCTTCCTGACGACACTCCTGCAGAGGTACCGTGTCGACGCCGAAGAAGGCCGCGAGGTGGAGCTCGCGTGCGACGGCGCCATGTCGCATCCCATCCCCGGACAAAGACTGCGGTTCATCGCACGCTGACGACGACGAAGTGGTGCCTGACGGAAGGAACTAGTGAATGAATGGACAAACGGAGGTGATGCGAGAAAATACTTGAGGAAGGGACGTTCTACGAAACTTCATCAAGCAACGGCGGCGGTCGCCATACTTGTCTACGGATGACTCGAGGTGTCGCAGTTTAGTGGGCAATCATAGGGTACTGAGGTTAAGACGCTACACTGTCACGTGGCGTCATGTCACGTGAGGTCACAATGTTTCCCCTAAATTCGTTAAAAATGTTTTCCGCGAATTTTAAGGGGAAATTTCCTTCTCTATATTGAACTAGAAATAGTCTATGAGGAAGCAAGTGACAAAAAAAGGCAAGGATAAAATCTTCTCCGGCGTACGCTCTGATAAAGGTGAAAGAGTAGAGGGCTTTGTGACAGGAGCTTGTCCTGCAATCTTATAGCTGTCACCCACTATAGTGGGGTAGAAAGTAGTAATTTAGGGGATTAACCTAAGCAATAAATTGTGACGCCCGCGCACACCCCTTCGGAATACATTGCAAAAAAAAAAAAAATGTCACGTCGCTCAGTGTACGTCTTGATGGAAGAACAAATAAGTACTATGTGTATTCCCTGCAGGGTTGTTTTTGTGTGAACTTTCGCCTTTGATCTACCTTCTTCCATCTGTGGCTTTACGGCTCTGTTTGTCTGCGGTTGTCGTTTACTAAGAACAACACCAGAAGCTTACGGATTTCACCAAATATGGTTACGAACTTCATTACGTGGTCACACTGCCCCGAGGGCGGGGGAGAAGAGAATTTTTTTCAGGCTAGGTGGTGCAAGCTACTTCCCAATACAAAGGGAACAGCCAATATTTTCCATACCTTCATCCATCCATATAACTCGCAGACAATGCAGGTGGTCCCGAGTTCGCCTCGAACGCTGACGTACTACACGTGTAAAATATATGCTTGTGGGGCATACCCAAACTATTGCGTCTCTAGATCATTGGTGGGGAATCGTCTAGACGGAGCACACTATTGAAAACAGTATTTACATCGCATGATAAGGTCGCATGTGTCATTGCGGGGTCGAGAATGGTGTGTACAACGACCACAAATTAACGGTAAGATGAGTAAAAAAAAAAACAACTACAAAGACATTTTTATGGCAGGCATTTTGTTTGATTCCGACCGATTTGGTTCTTACAAGGGCCTACACTGCAGGATATATCAATGTAAAGACAAAACAAGAAACCTTGCAGCTATTCTGCCATGAATCTTGTTTCTTTTTCTTCGAACTTTTCTGTTTCCGTAATTGTTGTAAAAATAAAATTCGATGTCTCTCCCTTTGGCTGCAAAAATATCTGCTTTCTGTTTCAAACATTAAAAAAAATCACCTTTGTAAGAATAAAATGGGAAAAAATGTAAGAAACATTATTTCCTTTGTCAATAAAAGAATGTCTAATCCAAAATTTACTTATTTTTTTTTATTTGTATATTAATTGCTGCTCACGGGTTTGTATTACTATGTTCCATATTTAAATGTTCAGTTTGTCATTCATTGTGTTGCTGCTCACTAACTTGTATTACTGTTTTTACATTGAAACTTTTAGTGTGCCATCCCTTGTTTAATGCCCTGTAACCGGGCCTTCAAGGTATTATGAAATAAAAATAAAATAAAACTCTCTAAAAGTCTGGTTGGTGCTTTTATGTGCTTCATATATTAAACAAATACACATAAAACAAACAAAACAAAATTTCGGTGAAGGGTCAGGTTGAACTTTGCGGGCTCCGCCGACCGCCGTTGGGATTGACCGGACTACGCCGTTTGATCCCTTGAACATTACTATCGCTCGAGATACCGGAGCGCTGATCCAAAGCCGAGGAGCCAAGTACCCGCTCGGCCGTGCCTTTAAATAATTCCTTCGGGACAACGGCCCTCACAATGAAGCGCCCTCTGCCGTCGCTTGCGGCGCTTGGGTCTCTGGTTGCCGTTCTTGGTGCGTGGCGTCAAGGCAGGCGCCCACAACTTAAAGAAACGAATAAAGAAAACACAGAAAAGAAGAGAAAGGAAACTTCTGAGTAACAGCTTTGTTTTAGTCAAATTTTTGATTCCCGCAATCGTTGTCTTCAGAGGCTGTTCACACATACACAAAATAGGTTTTGACAAAAAAGATTGTTTCTTTTTTTTTGTAAATTCAAGCAGGTCTTTCACCAAAAAGTACCAAGTACCTCAACTGAAGCCTGTAATTTTCCCGGCCCATTTTTGTTTTACGCGAGAACAAAAATGGATTCTTACAAAATAATGAACGGTTGGGTTAGGGTAGTATGTTTTAATATAACCCATCAAGAAATAGGCACTGCTTACTAAGATAAAAAAGCGTGTTTAGCGAATCATTGTTCAAGGTAATTTAATTTGATGAATTTGGAGAGAATGAAACGCTCCCGAATTTTCGATGCAGCACTTTGTGCAAACAGATGTTTGAAACAATGAAGAAATAAAGTTAGGTTACCAGAAGACAGCAAAGGTTTGTTCTCGTGCATTTCTGCCGGACTCTGACCAAGTGCGTTGTAATCTCTTGTAACTGTAGGGGTAGTAAGTACGTTTATTGAAAAGAAAAGGGGATCATGTCGTTTCCTCTTGGTTGAAACCTTCTGGCAAGACAGGCAGATGAGGTGGGAATGAGGAAGGGAATCAGATGGTAGGGGAAGTGGCCTAAAGGTCGAATAAAACTGACAAGGGATGACGACGTTTGTTTTCTGTGAGCGTTCTTGATGCTTGCGCGGGTCCAATTTTTGTAGCTTTAAGGCCATGGTTCCGGCTGTAACTCTGCGATGGCTTCTAGGTTTCGCTTCTCTGTGTCCTTGCAGTGCCAGACCAAATGCATGCATGCGGCTTTTTGGCAACACGCTTTGCAAGATGGGTCCGGACCGACGTCTTCAGGCAACGTTGGTGTGTAAAACCTGGCTTGCCACACCGGTGAGATGGCCCTTTTAGTTTGAAGCCTACGTACGCACCCCCCCTCCCACCTTGAGATGCTAGAAAGGACGGGGAAATCGTCTGGAGGCAAGAGTGAGGCCAGTCTTAGTTTCCTGGCCCTTCGCTCCTCCTCTTTGGCTTCTTCGGGGTCCTGTACCAAGTGTGAACTTCTTTCGAAGGGACTGAGGTTACCCGGTGAGGATGGAAAGATATGTAGTTTAAACTTCGCGGCATCGTCAGCTCTCTCATTCCCGTGTATCCTGCAGTGACCCGGAATACATGCGATTTTTAAAGGGGTACTCCGCCGATTTCTTCATGGTCCCCGATTTGCTTGAAATTTTGCTAAACTCGCCAGACAACATCGCCAAAATAGTATCCCAAATATTAGGTCAAAATAATTTTTTTTCACGAAGTTATTGAATTTACAATTTTAGTCCTCACCGTGTTTTTCAAACTGAAAGTCTCTACTGGCAACAATGAAAAAGTGACGTCATTGGAAGTGCAGGGGTTCACTCTTTGGACTGTAGAATTTGTTCCCAACTGATTCGAAGCAGTTTCATGGTGTCAAATGAATGCTTTGGAAGCTCGCTCCAGTCCCCGCGCTCCAGCACGGAACAAATGATTGGCATATTCTATTTTTTAGACTGCTCGCCCGACTGGCAAGCTAAACTTCCAGTGACGTCACGGCCCTGAAAAGGGCGGGTATATTTGAATGTTTGTTTTTGCATCATTTTCATTTGCCGATTTCGCAATAACTATTATGAATTTCACGATACTAAATAGCATACCAGAAAGGGCAAAGGCCGGGGAGTCAGAAAATACAGTTAGTTGAGGTAGCTCAAAAATCGGCGGAGTACCCCTTTAAGTCCTCGCCTTGGAGTCGAAACTCCTTGGCTCGAGATTTTATTGGCTGCACCGTTCGATCCTCGCTGCTTGCATTGAGGCTCTCATACTCGGCTTGTTTTGAGTCGATGATAGTATGCAGGGTCTTTGGAGTTCCTTGGGTGATTTCTTCTACCGCCCAAAGGATTGCTAGAAGTTCTGCCGTCTTCGCACTGGCGGTTTCTTCTACGTCCTTGCCTCTGGACTCTGGGGAGTTTTCGGTGCACCAGGCGAGCATCCAGGCCTGCAGCCGCCTGGATGCTCCGGAGCCGTAATGGCAACGTTGGGGAAGCAGCGAGCGGCCGCGGGGGGCACTTTGTACCACGTGATCTGACCGCGAAGGTGACTGCCTAAAGGCTGAGTATGTTTTGATTATATGAGTACTGAGGATCAGCCGTTAAGCCACCGATTCATTTGTTGGAGTGGCATGCTGTACCGTGGCAGAAGAATGTAGAATGAAAGTACTGCATGGTCTCCAAAGGACCCGCAGCAAAACATCCATGTTTCGGTTACACTGTTTATTTATTTATTTATTTTAAAATATTACAAGCTCGATGAGGTCATGCAGGAGTGGAGAGAAAACATACATTCAAAAAGGAAAACAATTAAAGATGTACGGAACAAAACTTAGAAAGCCGTGGAATGTGCAATATAGTTGAAAATGAGTAAAAAAAAACAATCACATACACTTAACTAGTGGATTCACAGGCACCAAGACCCCAGGCTAGCAGTCGTACTGCACTAGCTAAATTGATCATCTACAGCTGAGAGACAAGTCGCTCGTTGAAGGCAGACTAACCTAAAAACAGTATAAACATGCCCAAAACATTTTTTTTCTTTTCTGAAGCTCCTGCGGAGTAGTTGGCCTACCTCCCTCCACCTTGGTACTATGTACGTTGGGTATGTCACAACATTTGACTGGGCAGTTGACAATGTCCTTTAAGACGTCACTCCTTTGGCAATGTAGGGTGCTTGTACAGCAATCTTAAGGTTGGAAAGTATATGGTTCTTATTGATCTTTTTTATATTGATCCAGCATCGTATGTTACACCTCATCAGTCCAGAATTTCAAGAAATAAGCACAGTTGACATCTACAAGAATACAAATACAAGAAAGAGTGCTTTAAATTTTTTTTCTTTTTTCCACACACAATATGCGAGTGGAATGTACTG